ACAATCTGGGTTATGTGATATCCTGATGGGTCATTTCACAGGATGCGAAAGTTCTTTTTAGAACTTGCTTGGTATTTTCGCTTTATTGTTGTTGTCTTTGCCAATGTAATAGAGAACAGGCCTTGGTTTAACCCATAAATGATTGTTTACCCATAGCCCGTAAATTATTTGAAATATTACTTCAAGCGAGTCATATTTAATAAAATACCATCACTTGCTAATGTGTGCATTGCTCTTGTAGATGTTTGGTCACTCGGCGTAATACTGTTTATGCTTGTTTCGGGCCGACTACCGTTTCAAGAGGCTAATGATTCTGAAACCTTAACGAAAATTCTCGACTGCAGTTTCTCTCTTCCTGGCCATGTCTCGGATGGATGCAGGAAGTATGCTGTGAAAATGCTTTATGATTTGACAAAAATGTTAAGTGAATTAAGAATTGTAGGGCAGTGTATTCGTTTGTCAGTGATATTCCATTCATTCATTTGTAAGTGTGCGCTGTATTGGCTATCATATGTTGTATTTCTTCCGGGGAGGGGAAGTTTCAAAGAATCAAAGCACTTGATCAAAGTTAAATCTTATACATATTTTGTTGAACTTAGGCATTTTCCATGTATTAATCAAAGCATTAAGATTCGCTAGTACGTGACCACGATTAATTTCAGAGCTTTGTCTGCATAGATCTTGCATCTCTTAGTGTTAAACCTCTAGTCGGATGGATTACCGGCGCTCCTTGATAATGGATAATCCTTCAGTGGTATCAGATATTTAGCTTGGCTTGTGAGATAATCAGAGAATGCTTGTGAATTGCAGCTTATGTACATGGTTTACCAATAAATAGAGCTCACAAAGCAGCTTTATCGCCAGTGCGATGTAAAGAAATATTTGCCATTCTTCTTGCAGCAGTGGTAGCCAGGTTGAGTCATTCACATCGTTTTCTCCTGTTTATTCTTCTCGATCTTTTCGTTCCTCTGTTGTGTCATCTGGAATTTGCTGTTTTTCCATCCTGTTTCGAACAATTTTGCGAAATAAATGAAATGACTCTTAATTATATGATCTGGTTCTCTGCATTTAGCTTTTCTTCTCTGATCTGCTAAGGTGAGATATGCGTTTCTGTTTCCTTTCACTCGCCACCTCTCCACCAATGTAGCCGTTTCCGAAGTATCTTTAAATTGGTATGCAAGCCCTCCAATCGTTTTTGTTTTGGTATAAAATGTCTGAATGGTCCTTTCACTTAAAGCATAAACCGTGACAGAACTATGCACTATCATGTTCCTGGAATTTCATTTCTGATGTATCTCTTTAAACTCTGAAATGTAAGGTTGAGTGTTTTCGGAAAATTTGACAGCATATTCTGCTGTAACGATCAGTGTTGAATGTTGACTTTTAGCAGACAAGTTGTGTTTGAGGTTGATCGAAAGCATGCTCGTTCGTAATCCGTCGCAGAGGGCTTCGCTTATGGAAATTGCTCAGTGTGGTTGGGTGAAAGCTGGCGCCACAGGTCATTCGTGCGCGCTGCCTCTGATCATCCGGGAAAATATCACTGAAGAGTTACACAACAAGATCATGAACTTGATGGTTACTGGAAGCATTGCCGACGTGGATCATATTACAAAGTGAGACTGATTTTGCTGCCTTGGTGTTTAATTCAGTTCAATCTGGCATTTTGTCGCAGATCTTTAGAAAACAATGACTACAACCACGTCACGGCTACTTACTACCTTCTTGCTGAACGCTTCCTGCGAGACGAGCGCCTCAAACAGGCGCAGAAGTTATCTTCGCCAAGCAGGTGAGCCTGGGTGCATAAATTAGGTGGTTAATGCTCTGGTTTATGGAGTGAAGACTTTAGGTGCTGCCTCTCAGGGTTGTGAAGAAAGGCAAAATAGTTTCTCACGCTCCCTGCAGCACACGTAATTTCACCATTCGTTCATTATGTCTGATAGCAGATGGTTAAACATACCGCGTCCTACTAGCGATCTGTTTAAAACGATTGCTCCTTGTTCTTGCAGTGGCTTACTTTGAGTCTGTTGCTTCGTTAACGAAATTCTCAAAAAGCGGGTTAAAAATCGAGGACCTCATTATAATCATGTATGGTTCGAAACTGAGTACAATATTAATTACCGTGTATTACCGTTAGGCCATTTAAGGTATATTCAAAGTGTATGAGAACTGGATGGTTCGTTCTTCTTTTTTGCCATTGTAGTGGCTGAGAGATTTAATTTTATTTTAATGTTACTGCCTCTCAG